CATTGCAGCACGAATGTATTCATCTCTGGACAGGTGCTCATTTCTAATAATATGGTTTGAAACCAAAATCAGCTGTCTACGCAGTTCTACTGAATTATGTAGGCATACCTCACATGTTTTTAATAGCTTGCTTTTACACTTTCATTTCATGCTTAATCCAATTTAACAAAAATAAATAAACGTGGCCGGAGTTGTTTCAATGTGAAGTTAAATCCTTTTAAAATAACCCCTATCTGACAATATGTAAGAGTATGTGTATAGACCCATGATTGTAGAGGACTACTGGTCCAAACATTTAACGCTTCTTTTACAACAATTTAACTACATGACTTACCTGTCTGTATCAGTGTTACTGAATACTACACTAGCGTCAATGCTGTAATCCATATCTACACCCGCAGACCTCTTCTTTCCACGTGTACAATCGCAGTGGCTCCTTGATAATATATATATTCGTTACATATACACAGCGTGTAAAGTATATAAATATCATCCATCAACGAAAACCGTCAATCGTTTGGTCGTAAATTGCCCTATTTATGCACCCCTCCAGTTTATATATCCCTATAAATGACGTTGTGTTGTTTGCCAATTACCTAATCATCACTTTCACATCCATGTATGGATATATAGTAGCTACGCAAGGGATCGCATGCTCAATCAGATGAGACTGCCAAAGGATGTTAATATCACAGAAAGAAAACAGAAACTATCCGTTCAAATTTCATTTTCCGTAGAAGCAAAACGATGCAATTTGGTAATTCTCCTATTCATTTTAACATTTTATTATTCTAATGTTTATTTATTTATTTATTATTTTTTTTTGGGGGGATGCAAAAATAATAAAGATAATTTGGCTGCCATTTGACTGTGCATTGTACCAATTCTTTTGACCTCTTTCCTTAGCTCAACAAATATGAAAGATGTGGCTCTCAATAATAAATATGAACTGTTTTTCACATTATCTGTTGAATAGGATATATATATATATATATATATATATATATATATATATATATATATATATGTTACATTTACACTTTCAAAGAAGTTGTGAAATTACCACTATTACGATTCATATTTATTCTCTTAAATACATTGTTAATAATGCTTACAAATTAAACGCATTAAGACTTAGAAAAAGATTTCTTTCTTACCCCCTAATTCCATAAACCCTTATTTTTGAGCAACCAGACCTGCACCCTCCTTCACAGTTGCACATCAGTGAATCACATCTTCCTTTTCCACAACTCCAATATGACTGAAGCCAAAGGACAAATTATCAACCCCGCATTTTCTTATCCAAGGAAATAAACTGAAATAAAGCTACTTGAAAATCCAATTGAAAGGAAAGGTGCTCATTTTCAATTACTATGTTTCCAGTTTGTTCCAGTGTTAATATGCAGGTGGTTTTTAAATGCCGTTTTATTTTAAAATAAAGCTCTACGTCCTTTACTACCCCGGTTCCTGAGTACCAACGTTATTTCTCGGGATATCCTTTAAAAAAAAATTCTAGATAGCAAAAGTGTGTTTTGTGTTTATGTTTACCCTAGCGAAAGCGTACATTCCATTGCTATTTTCAGTCTCTAAGTACAACTTACATAACTACAGTCCCCGCAATAGCCACCAATGATTGGATAGCAGCATACAGCGTCCACTCTTCTAACCACGACGCACAAATACGCAGTAACTGCGATTGTGACAAATCCAATAAACATTTTCTAAAATAAACATTTATATATGTAGTCATTTATTTAAAAGTCACTGTCTCAAGTAGTAGTTTGAATGTGTAATAGTATTGTGATTTCCTGAAAGAATAGCATACCGACAGCAGAAAATATACTAGCATAGAATACAGCATACCCTAACAGAAAACATTCCTGCACAATATGACAAATCATGACAGCATATCATAACAGAAAACATAACCATAACTGTTTAAAAAACAAAATATGATAGCATACTACAGTATTAGGGAAAACATAACTATATACTGTAACAGGAGACATCACGCGTAATATTAAAGAAAACATGGCAACACACTATAATAAGCAACATAACAACCTACTATACAGGAAACATATACATATACATAAACATATACAGAAAACATATTAACTTACTTTAGCAGATGCTTTAAGAACAATACGAAACATAACAACATACTATATATAGCGGATAACATACGTGAGGTAACATACTATAGCAGAATACATGATAACACACTACTGGTATGATGTAATGATAGCCATTAGAGAATAAAATAAATTACGCTACGTTTTATGCTAAGTTTAAGTAACGTAGCACACTAGAAAGATCTCATCACCTTACCTTGACAGTTGCATCTGATGCAATGTTTCAGTCAGCATTAAGTGACACGTTTATTGGGGTAAACAGCCAATCAGACAGAGAATTGGCAGATATTGGTACAAAAGCAACAGGCCAAGGGTGTTTAGAAGATGGATCCTCATATTTAAATTGAAAACAGAGTGGCATGTTTTTTTTTTCTGTCCTCAAGCTATTCTAATTATGAGACGGAGGGAATGTGTTTTACAAATAATACACATACCATCTGTGAAAATAGTGCGATATGTGGCGTGGGTGGGGGACCCGTTCATAAAAAGTGATTTGCAGTTTAACGCTTAATTCTAACCAGTGTTGGTAAATGTTGTGGAAATTGACATTTAAAGGCCTACTAAAATAAAATTCGATCTCTAATAATTAAAAAGAACAATTTATTCAAGTATTTTACTGGAGGTTTTCAAACGTGGAAATGGCGCAGTTCATCATTTGTATATTGCAATTACACAGTTTTTCATAAGTGTATGGCACAGCTGTAGGATAGTCTAGTTTTTCTGAGTTTTTGGCCGTTACGTTATGTTGCTGAAGGCTCATCTTATCTATGCCTATGAATTGATCCTTCTCTGAATGATCAACTCTTTATCAAACCACTTTTACGACAAATGGCAATTAAAATGTAATTATATGTTTTTGTACTGGGAATGGAAACTAAACCCCAACCAGCATACTTTGGTACTGTCAGACATATGTTTTAAAAATCAAATAAGTTTTTCTTTCAATAATAATGAAAGCATTTACTGGTGCTTTTTAAAGACCTACGTGAAACCAATACATTATTATTAACGGAAAGTGATTTTTGCCATTTTCAAAAACGTCCTTGTGTCAAATTCATCCAAACTGATCACACCGTTGCCATGTTTGTCTTTTTCCATAAATTCAGCATGGATATCCTCATATTTTGTTTTCCTGCTCAGATCTATTGCAGCACGGATTCATTCCCCTCTGGACAGCTGCCTTTGCATCTGAGATTTTGTGGTACTGAGGAAGGGAAACACTGAGGAGTATTTTGATAATACGTTCAATAGTCTTCTCGCCAATTTTTCATCATTGCGTTTGTTGAATGCGTTGTCTAGAGACCAAATCGCAACTGCAGCATTTGACAGGTCAATAACAGGTGAATGACTATGAGGCTGAACATGAGTAAAATAATAAGTGAATAAAAAAATAACCAGAAAATTACGAAAAGTCTCCGAATAGTGTGAGTTAAAGCTTTACCCTGCCTCATGGGTCTTTGATATTTTTTGTTTAATTAAATTTAAATATAAAAAGCGCAGTATGCAATCGTTTGATTGTTTTAGGAAGATTCAAATATACCTAATGCGGGACAGGCTTTTTTATTTGCACAGACTGACAACACGAAGGACAGGTGGGTGAATTTGCCTTTGAATTACGTGCATAGGTCCATAAAGGTGTGACAAATGACGGTCAGATTTATTTTGGTTCTGATCCGTTGGCAGTGCGGGTTTTTTTTAGAACTTGAATGCATCATTCTGGAAATTTTAGAGTATACCAGCAGTGTGCAAAACAAATTCATTAGTCTTTTGTGGGAAGGCTCAAAACTCGTCATATTATGAAATACACAAATGAAAGCATGCACTAAAATGCGTGGGACGGACCAGGGCCCCGTATCTCGAAAGCATCGCGCATTGCGACCCTGCGCAAGCGTCTCGATTCCATAACTCGCCCATACTCCTCCCATATAATACATTGTAGCCTCTATTTGATATAGCTATTCGCAATACGCGATGCTTTCGAGATACGGGGCCCAGGTGTTACTTGACCCCGCCTTGGTAGTGCTAACAAAATGTTATTGATAATTTCAGTTTGCCTAGACAGGAGAATGGGTATGGAAAAGCACATGAACTTTATTAGAAACGCTTGGAGAGTGGGCACGAAGAGATCGATGTTTACAGAAAAAATATGCAAGCACTTTCACGACAGAGCGTTACGCTAATAATGATGTTTTTTTACTTTTTGTTCATATTCCCTGAAGAAGGCCCAGGGGCCAAAAGCTCGGACTGTATTCAACAACTATTATGTAGATCTTTCTAGATGCATCAAAATATTTATAGTTCTATTATTACCAAGATCTATACGGTGAATCAACATGAATCGCTAATAATGATAACATGCAATTGTTGAAATTCAACCAAACATTTCCTCAAAGAGTATATATGTAACTTTTTGTTTTCTTACAAAATTAAGTGTAAACAAACAAAGTATCTTAACTAGCCACAATAAGTGATAACATGCAAATTGAATTCTTTTAATAGTGGCTTTGCTTATTTTGTCAGCACGGTCTTATTAAAAACAAGGTTACGCCAGACATCAAAATGCTATAAATTCTACATTTCATACCACAAGTTCATAATGCATTTTGGTGTTTACATCTCAAATAAAGAAGTACATACACGTGCGTGAATTGTAATTAACAAAGAATAAAAAACAAAAATGCCACATTCGAACTAACAGTCTCTTATCCCGATTTCAACAACTATCCGAATAGTTGCCAGGGAACACGTGCAAGTGTTTAGACGGTGCTAAGTAAAAAGGCGTGAGTTGTAGTTTTGAGATGCTACATAACATTACATGACAACACATGGCATCACATGAGCAATTACATGGTGCCGTCACCTTCCCTAAAATCGTGACGTTCCCAGTGTTAACTGCTTAAGTGCAGGGCCCAGGTCCTCAATCTTGACTGACCCACTGCGAGCATTCATGCCGCCGTAGATCCCCTCCACGCTGTACTTGTAGCTATTGCCGTTCTGAAGGTCGATCTGCATGTTGGCTTTGTACTCCGTGTCTATAGAGTCGGCGTACATGGTACCTGTGGCATACAAAAGGCGGTTTGGGGGGCACTTGATCGGCCATTCCCACGTGCGCTGTTCCGTTGTCGTTGTGGACCTACCGTATGAGGCAATCGCGGTGACCTTCCAGGTTGAACTGGCCTTTACACCTTCCACCCCTGGGATACCACCAGAGACCGTTGTCTGCAAAGAGTGCTCCAAAGCCGTGGTAATGCTCCACTGTCGCGTAATGGTGACGGATCGGGAACCCTTCACGGTGTAGGTCTGTTCTACGGACGACTCATTGGTGATACTCTGCTGGACGACGGTTTCCGGAACCGAGGCGACAATTTCCGTGTCCAGATTTGGGTAGGTGACGTCCACCAAGCGTGCCTGCTTAATTGGATGCAGTATAGCGAACCCCAGACTGTCGACGTCCTCGCCTCCGGCACCGAACATTCCGCAGACAATGCCAGAGCCCACATCCGGACAGTAACGGCCGTCCTCTTCCAACCAGCTCGAGAAGATTCCCCAGTCGCGCCCTTTGTCCGTCTGCAACCAGATGGCGCCTAGACGATGATTCCCGCCTGAGCTGGTCTCTCCGCTGGCTTGGATGTTGAGTTTGGTCAGCTTCTCGCCGGTGTTCAAGCGAAACTCGCTTGAAGATCCAGAACGCTTCCCAACAAGGTGAGACTTCCCGTCGCTCATCCACATCTCCACTCCACGGATACGCCAATCGTCCTTCCAGGCTTTTAGCCTGGTCATGATGGCGCCGTCGTCCAGTCTGACGTACGTGAACGGCATTCCGCCATTTCCACCAGAGGCCTGAAAAGGAAAGTCAGGTCTCAGTATTAATTACTATAGGTAAAAATGTCCCTCCAAGGGAAATAATCATCTTAGGTAGCACCTTCAGTATGTAAACTGGTCCCGCCCATTCCATCAGAGCACTGAAGTTATTTCTGTGCATGAACCCCTCCCAGCAGGCAAAGTGACTTTTTATAATATTATGATAATATTATGGTGAAGTTATGAGAAATTTTTACTCCATGCAAAAAATGCCCCAGTTAACAAAATAGCATTATGATGACGTTATAATATTTGTCGAAAGATTCGAAGGCTGATTCTTCAAAACTTTATGATAACGTTATCTTCTGTAATTTTTTAGTGTTTCTATAATATTTTGGAAAAGCATTATATAATGTTTTGAAAACTTTTTTTTACAAATAACCAAAACACTTCTTACTCCATTTTAACTACATTTAGCGGTTTTAATATAATCAATTAATAAATTAAAATTTAATTAAATTAATTAAATTTAATTAATGTAATTAATTTTATTAATTAAAATTCTAAATTGTGCTTGGGGTTAGTCGACGACTAGAGCTGTGCAAATTGTAGAATTTTCGGACTTTTGTTACCGAAATAACCAGCATGTGATGAAAGTTTACATAACCTATTAGAATGAATGCCCCACCATCAGTCATAGTGTTCTAATTTACATTGCTTCTGGAAAAGATTAAATAGACATCAATACTGTAGCGAACTTTATCAAAATATAAAAAACGGTGCTTTAAAGTAAAAGTGATAGTTGTTTGGTGTCTATAGTGAACTAGCGAATTTCCCCAACTTGTTTTTCAGAAATACATTCTAATAAACTTCTGCGCAAGATCAACTAACACAAAGATGATTAATTCTAGCTAAAAGTGTGATTGAGTAAAGTTAATTATGTTTATAGTTCACGGTAACCTGTTATAGCTAGGTAGATAGACATGCCAGACTAAGGTGACTCTTCTACATATATATATATATATATATATATATATATATATATATATATAACCGTTATATAAAACCGTTGAAGCTCTACAACCCACGCCCTACACTGTAAAAACAGTGTTTAGCTTTGAAACACATTTCTAAGCGCCTGTTTTGTCTAATTTTTTCGACGCGTTTAGCACCTAAACACGTTTAGCCTATTAACATGTTACACGCTTTGACGTGCTTGACGCCGAATAAATGTAGGGTGTTTTTGTTTAACTTCAAGGTGATAACGTTTTCAACTGTTTCAGTCACACGCGCACGCACACACACGCACACACACACACACACACACACGGTCACCTTTAACTGCTATGGTTATCTCTATAACAGGGTACCGTGAACTGTCAAGATAGTCGATTCACCCCATCGTCTTTACAGCGGAAATTATTCATCCTTGTGTTAGCTGAACTTGCGAGGAAGTTTATTGGTATATATTTCTGAAAAACAAGTTAGGAAAATTCACTAGTTTACTAAAGACACGAAACAACTATCACTTTTACTTTAAAACATTTTTTTTTCATATTTTGATAAAATGCGTTACGGTATTGATGTCCATTTATTTTTTCCGGAAGTAATGAACAATAGAACATCAGGATGATGGTGGGGTATTCATTATAATGGTTTATATAAGCTTTCATCGCATGCTGGTTATTTTGGTAACGATAGTCCGATTATTTTACAAATCGCACCGCTCTAGTCGCCGACTAACCCCAAGCCCATTTTGGAATTAACCGCTTACTGTAGTTTATACAGCATTAGACGTGTTTTGGCGATTTATAAAAAAGGTTTTGAAAACATTAAATAATGTTTTTCCAGAATGTTATAAAACGCTTATAAAACTGCAGGGCATCATTTTGCATGGCGTTTAAAACACCCATAACGTTACCATAACGTTATTCTATCCCATCACCATCATGTAACCAGCTGATATCGCCTTGAAAACGTTATTTGTTATTTGGATTATTACTTAATCGACCTATTTTAAATAATCACACGTTACTGCAAGGAAGGACACAACGCGTTCGAGCAGGCTGCTTCTCGCCTCCATACGTTTAAAAGGGGAAGTGTTAAGCCAAATTATTGAGTCTTGTAATAAACTTGTTATGGGATCGTATACATGGGATTGTGAAGCATTTTCTTTCTGTGACAAGCTTGAAAAGCTAAACTTGTTGTTTAGCAGCTCCACGTGTTAAGGAATTCCACCCCTATAGCAGCTCCATATGTTTAGCAGACTCACGCGCTTAGCAGGGGAAGTGCTTAGCCAATGTGCTTAGCTTGTGATGGACTTGTTATAGAATCATATGCCAGTGAAGCTAAACACATAGCTAAACGTGTAACACTGCCAACGTGTCTAGCTTTTTCTTCTGTGAAACGCTTGAAAATCTATACGTGTTTAGCATTTACACAGATTTCTATAGGTGCCTAACGTGCGTATAGGTGCCTAACGTGTGTTGTATGTATTTAAATGCTAAACACTGTTTTTACAGTGTACATATATAAAGCCGTTAATCGGGTCATGCTGCTAAACGCATTCAGGCTAAAAGCGTGTAACGTGCGTAGGAGCTAAACGTGCTTAGGGGCTAAATGCGTTAAAACGAGACAAAACAGGCGCTTAGAAATGTGTTAATGAGCTTAACCACGTTTTTACAGTGTATACATATAAACAGTTGAAATGCTCACCTAAAGGCCATACAACCTGTAACAAGTTGTTTACGGTTCTGTAATAGAAAGCAGTCCAGCCCACGAGAAGTAAAGAGAGAAAGTCTTTATTTTTCATCAATTTAAGATTTCATAAGTTTACTAAATAAAACGTTATATTAAACATTAAATTAATAAAAATAACTAAATAATTAGGGTTGAATAAAATAATATATAACTTGATACTAAATACAAGATAAAAAGAAAACAATTTTATCTGTAATAGAAAGCAATGTCCAGCCCACGAGAAGTAAGGAGAGAAAGTGAGGAAAACAGACAAAGGAATGTAGCTGGTCAAGACTTTAAACCAATGAAAAGCAAGAATGTATAAAGACAGAAAACAAGGAATAAGAAAGAAAGCAGGAAAGACTTAAAATAAGAAACGGAAATACAAAATCGGGATAGACAGAAAAAAATGACAAAATAAATAAAATAAGCAATGAAGTACTACTACTACACACCCTACACATATTTTGCCGTCAAACGCTTCATACTGCTAAACACAATCAGGTTAAAAGCGTGTAACATGCTAAGGAGCAAAACGTTCTTAGGAGCTAAACATGTTGAAAAAATGAGATAAAACAGGCGCTTAAATGTGTTTAGGAGCTAACGCTGTTTTTACAGTGTACGTTATAATTGTTCACTAATGTTTTTGAATGAAAAATAAAAACATTTCAGGTCATTTTAATGGCTTTTCATGTAAGAAAGTTGTCTAACAACTGGAGTTGATACAATGTTGTTATTTTGACGTTGATCCAATTTTCAAATCTAATGATAATCCAACGTTTTGTCAACGTTGAAACAACATGATTATCCCCCTGGGCTAGTACTCTACCACCCAAGCCTACCAACTTTAGCTTTGGTTGTTCACTCTGACTGCTGATCTCCAACCACCGTAAAGTGTGCTGTACACTACTGTGCTCCGAATTGGCGTTTGTCTAAGTTTAAGGAATGGTTTTGTTAAGTGGCATGTAGAACCTCATTAAACGAGCACCAAACCTGTAAAGCCACTTTCTCAGCAAAAGTGCAACGTCGAAAAAGTAATTTCGAATTAATTAAAATTAATTCAAACATACTGCAAAATGTTGCATAAAAACGCACATAATTAAGACAAGAACATACATGTATATTCTCAAATACCGTTTTCGCGACGAACACAGTATCTTTCTTTTGTACATTCAATGTGGTAAGAATTGACATACCTGATTGGTGGTGAAATACCTCTTGTCAATGCTACTGAATTCTCTGAGGTAAGGCATTCTGGAGTACAGTGCTGTGATTCCTTGGTCCTGGATGGATTTGGTGTTTTACCCGCGGAGACAGCGTTACAGGTGGGAAGATATGAAGCACGGGCGCTTAAATTTATTTATACGCGTTTTCCACGCCTACTTCTGCTCAACGCTGGCGCTGATTGGTTGTCCTAGTAACGTCGTGTATCTGAGTAGGTGTTTTGACTGCTGTGACTTTGTTGCACTTACTACTGGTTCACTCCTGTATTTATTATAACGTTTGATGTGCATCAAAAAGTATTTTGATGACCTTGTTTATGGTCGCTTTTTTCCATTGCTTGACACATATGTCAACTAGAAACAAACCGGACGTATACTGAATATTTTTAGACACGTGAATACCATGGACCCTGTAATCAACGAGTTAAGTCTACATTTTCAAATGTCACACTGTAACTTTTTAACCCCAAAAGAGAGTCATTATACAAAAAGGTGAGCACTTCAGTCACGACAGTAGCGATCACTTTGTGTGTAATATTGCATATTATTCTGCCTAGTCCAACATTTTCACTGCTTTATACCATGCCCCATCTCCAATCTCAGTATGGAAAGACATAAATGGCAAGTTAATTAAATGTCACACGAAACAGCTATGGAAATAGGCTATCACACAAAATATGTGAGTAGTTGACGTCACTCATGTTTACTACTCATGTTTACCACGTTTTAAAGGTCAATGAAAAAATGATAAAGATTCAAAATGGAAGAAAAATAACACCAAAACCATGCTATTTTGAGAGCAGACACATCTCCTGTTTTGTGCTTATTTATCATTTATATAATTAGTGTTTATGTCTAACCCGACATGATAACCTTGAACTTCATACCAATTAACCGTCTCTATTACACAAACTACAGTAACTTTCCCTTTGCTTACGCCCCGTTTAAAGGTAAAGGAATTCAAATAACATATTAGCGAAAGATACAGTGTACTTCAACGGATTTTTTTTCGGCAAGGAGCATTTGCGCAGCTTCATCTTCCATTCATACATCATATTCTTTTCATACTTTAGCAGGATGTTATTATGCAGTTCCGTTTGTCTTCAATACACAGTCATTAAACTCTTTATAATCTTCTCTGACAATTCAAATATGTTTTGACGGTTGTCTTACAAAACCCATACAAAACCCTTACAAGTTCAGGGTCAGGGTTAAATATTACCTGCGTCGGCCTCGGTTTTCAGAGCAAGAAGATAAACCCAAATGCCCCCTCGACTGCATCACAGGTCAAAACATATCATATTCAGGCATGCAATGCATATCAAGCAAAAACGTCGTGTTCTTTTGACGAGAATTGACTCTTTTGACTGCGCGTAGCGCGCATAGTGGCTGTGTTCTGTATAAATTCAGTCGACATATTACATATTTAATGATGAAGATACGTCCGTTCAGACGAGAACTACTTCGAAACGAAAACCTTCCAACTGGCATCCAAGCTTTGTGTATTTGATTGCTTTTCTCGATTCTAGTATTTATGAAACATCCGGGGCACAATTCCTTTAATGTCTTCGAGGACATACCCCATTGTATTCCCCAATTTTTCAGATACCACTGGTTAAGCCCTCATTTACGATAATTGCCACCTGGAGCCGTGAATTAGTGACCGCCGAATTAATGACTTGGAACCATTGTTTCCTGTTTCAAATACTGACTGCGAGCATTGAATTATTCGCTGAGATCAATTTATCATGTTCTGGCTTGTTTTCATCCTGGTCTTTTGGTTTTTACACTACACTTATTTTGACTGCAAACTACTTTCACTATGGCAGACGATGAGAAGAAAATGCTCGGTAGTGTTCTTTGAAGTTCCGTATAAAAAGAAGATAACATTTCTCTTCTTTCTATAAAAATAACAAAAGAGATGTTTTTTGTAAGTGAAATGCACTACCAGGAAAATAATGAAGAAACAAAACAATATCTTTAAAGTAATACACATGCTTTATATATTAAAATATGTTTTAGCAGATGAACTAAAAATAAATAAATAAATAAGCAGATTGATGAAAAGCTAACGGGTGACCTTCTGACCTTGAAACACTTGACAAAAAAAAAAAAAAAAAAAAAAAAAATAGTGCGAACAATTATAGGCAAACAATCAGTAATTGACCATACTGAACATTGCAGGACCACATGTAATGTGTATCGACTGTCATTTGCGGCTATATATGCAGAGCGCAAATAGCATTAAAGGGCGCTCAAAACCTTAAGCAACATAATAAATCAAGATGCTTGTCACAGTAAAGATGACAGTAGAAGTGTGTAACTGCATGTTCAAGAGATAACGCAGATAAGATCACATATTCATAAAATTGAAATGTATTCGCACTCTTTCAAAAACCATAGAGGGGATTCAAACTGAAAGAAACATTTTACTGGTAAATTGCAATCCGCTCTTTAAATAAGGTCGTTATGTACACATATGTACAAACATGCATACAAACAATCTTTGGAGAGTATTTTAAGAAGCAAGAAAGGGATCGCCCTGAAACTTGACAGGTACCTTAGAGAACATATGGCTCGACTGCTAAGCAACGCAGCTTACTATGGGATTCTTGCTGTCAGAAAAATGGCCATAAACGGGGAGCCATTGCCAGGCAATTCAACATTTATCAGGGAACCGTTAGTAAAGTCCTCCAAAGAAATGCTACAACAGGCGCACCTACTCCAAAACCTCAACGAGGGTGTCGTCGAATCACAACAAGAAGACAGAATTGCCTTCTCCTTAGACTGTGCTGTGCTGGCCGTGCAAAGACAGTGTCCTCAGAAGGGAGTGGCAGAATGTCATTCGAAGGCCCATTTCAAGGCCCATCGTGAACAAGAGATTACTGGAAGCCGGTTATTTTGCACGAAGACAAGTACTGGAACCACTGTTAACAGCAGGTCATATACAGCGACGTCTGCAATGGGCTGGAGACCACGTGCGTTTGCAGCTAAACCACTGGAATCACGTCGTTTTCAGAGATGAGTCCAGATATGGAGTTTTTATGGTTGACAGTCGAATCCGTGTCCGCCAGCGTGTACCAGAGGCATATAACGATGACCGTGTAATGCCTGGGTGCAAGCAGGGGGTGATGGCGTCTCTATTTGGGGAGCATTCCATGTCGGTTCCCAGAACCAGTTGGTTTTTCTAGAAGGCAACCTCAACCAGGGTTCCTACAGAGACATTCTACAGCAAACAATACTTCCCTTTGTAAGAGGCAACTTCAGGAACAACTTTGTGCACCAAGGTGATTACGCACCCCTACATCGAGCTCGCAGAATCACTGCTTTTCTTCAAAACCAATTGGTTAAGCAACTGCCCTGGCCAGCAAACTCCCCAGATATAAACCCAATTGAAAGCCTGTGGGCGGATGTAGCACGCAGAATCAATAGCTATGGTCATCAGCCGGTAGATCGTGATGTGCCGTCACCTTACTTCTTACGTCAGATTTGCCATTATTAACCAAAATATCTCACAATTGAAGACTGGATATTTTTATGACTCAAGTACATATTTTTTGATGAAAAAAGAAGAAAAAAAAAGAAAAAAATTAATATGCACACAAAAATAATGATAGAAATATATCATATTAAGTAATAACCCTGTATTTGATTTTATGTTTTGTAACAAAATTAAGTGCCAACAATTAAAATACCTTAACTGGCTACCATAAGTATTAACATAAAAATTGAATGATTTTAATAGTGGCTTTGCTTATTTTGTTAACACGGTCTTATTTTAATAAGCAAAGTCACACCTGACATCAATATGTACTATAAATTCTACATTTCATACCACAAGTTTATAACGCATTTGGTGTTTACATCTTAGTTACAGGTTTCAAGGCAGCTTAGTTTGGTCTCAAATGAAGATGTGCATACAAGTGCGTGAATTGCATCAACAAAGAAAAAAACAAACAAACAAAAGAGTCACATTCAAACGATTTCAACAACAATCTGAATAGTTGCCAGGGAGATCACATGAGCAATTGCACTGTGCCGTCACCTTACCTAAAATCGTGACGTCCCCAGTGTTAACTGCTTAAGTGCAGGACCCAGGTCCTCAATCTTGACTGACCCACTACGAGCATTCATGCCGTCATAGATCCCCTCCACGCTGTACTTGTAGCTGTTGCCGTTCTGAAGGTCGATCTGCATGTTGGCCTTGTACTCCGTGTCTATAGAGTCGGCGTATATGGTACCTGTGGCGTACAAAAGGCGGTTTGGGGGGCACTTGATCGGCCATTCCCACGTGCGCTCTTCCGTTGTCGTTGTGGACCTACCGTATGAGGCAATCGCGGCGACCTTCCAGGTTGAACTGGCCCCGACGTCTGCAACCCCTGGGATACCCCCGGAGACCGTTGTCTGCAAAGAGAACTCCAAAGCCGTGGTTATGCCCCACTGTCGCGTAATGGTGACGGATCGGGAACCCTTCACGATGTAGGTCTGTTCTACGGACGATTCGTTGGTGATACTCTGCTGGACGACGGTTTCCGGAACCGAGGCGACAATTTCCGTGTCCAGATTTGGGTAGGTGACGTCCACCAAGCGTGCCTGCTTAATTGGATGCAGTATAGCGAACCCCAGACTGTCGACGTCCTCGCCTCCGGCTCCGAACATTCCGCAGACGATCCCAGAGCCCACATCCGGACAGTAACGGCCGTCCTCTTCCAACCAGCTCGAGAAGATTCCCCAATCGCGCCCTTTGTCCGTCTGCAACCAGATGGCGCCGAGACGATGATTCCCGCCTGAGCTGGTCTCTCCGCTGGCTTGGATATTGAGCTTGGTCAGCTTCTCGCCGGTGTTCAAGCGGAATTCGCTGGAAGCTCCAGATCGCTTACCAACAAGGTGAGACTTCCCGTCGCTCATCCACATCTCTACTCCACGGATACGCCAATCGTCTTTCCAGGCTTTTAGCCTGGTCATGATGGCGCCATCTTCCAGTCTGACGTACGTGAACGGCGTTCCGCCATTTCCACCAGAGGCCTGGA